CTTCCCATGATGCGTAATGATACATTGATTCAATTAAAATGATTTATAATGACTATTTGATGACTATCTTTCCTCTCCCCTCCCCCAACACTCTCACCAGACTGGCAGAGCCTTGAGGTTAGAACAGTGCCTATGTCACCCTCCATTCTACCCTCTCGCCTTTAGCACTGCACTTAACATAGTAAGCGCTCAAGGAATGTTCTTAATTAGCTAATAAAAGAATACACTGACTCAATCGCCGTAACAATCCTGTGAGACAGGCATTTCTTCAGACCTGGGGAAGCTGAACGTCGGGGTAGGCAAGTGGCTTGCCCAAGGTATAGGGCAAGGGTTGAAGTAAAGTCCTGAGCCCAAGTCTGGTCCTAAATCCTGAGCCCGGATTTTCCCGCTCCTGAGCTTTGGCCCCTTGGTGAAAGGGCCAGGAAGGGAGCGGACTTTGAGCTACGAGGTTTTTTCGGAGTACACAGGTCATGCACGTGGACCATAGGAAACAGTAGCTCACCTACAAAGACTAAGACGCGCCCCCTCAGCTCAGAAAGAGTAAAGATCACAATCTGCTGCATATGCATGAGGGGACCATGAGCCCGAGATTCGGGGAATGTCCAGGCTTCGCCTGATTAAAAATTCTTTGGTCTTGAAGACTTCAGAGCCCCCAGAGTTCCGCACACGTACGCAGAAAGTTTTCAAAGGGTCATCTGGGGCGGACATTTAGGGGATATTGGTCGAGGAAGACCCCCCAATTTGGGTCATATAATCAGGCGTCTCAAGTAGACAGCTCAATCCCAGAAGGGGTCCTCGGCCGGTAGGACTAGAAGACGAAGGGGGCGTCTCCTCTGTTTCCTGCGGCGTCCGTGGCGAGCTGTGGTGGAAGCAGGCTGCGACAGCGAAAGCGACAGTGGCTTCGGCGCCATGGCAGAGCTAGCAGGTACCGTGGTGTCGGCCTCTTGGGGGCGGGATGAGAGGTCCTCAATGAGTCCTCGCCGCCATGTTGTCCCTTTGGGGTCACCTTAGGCGTCTCTCGGCCCCTCTCTGGGGCTTTCCTTCCTCACGCCTTCGGGTCCACCTATGTTCAGTGTCACGTGACTGCCCTGTTTGACCCCTGCCTGGGCCTTGAGGGTCCCTTCCCGGCCCCAGGGCGGGTCACGGGACTCTTGGGTTCTCGTTCTGGCCTCCAAGGTCAGCACGCGCCTGTCTGCTCCGGGCATTGGGCAGGCAGAGCTTGGGAGCGCGGGGCTGGGAGGGCGCGACTATTCCCTCTTCAGCACTAGGGCCTATGGCAGGGGACCCAGTTTCTGAGAGGCCTGTCACTCTTGTCTCCGCCACTTCAGCCTCATTTTTACAGCAGAAAGAGCGTGGGGGAGAGGGGAGAAAAGGGTCTCCTGCCCTGGGCCCCCGCTTTGGTGGCTGAGATGATAGGTCGGCTCTCTGCTTTGAGTCTCGGGTGCTTCTTACTCCCTCTAACTTTACATTTAACCAGGACACCCGTTCTCTTTTCTTCAACATATATGGGGAGTGGCCTTCAAGGGCAACTGAAGGAGCGGAATGGCTATCACACTAATGGCCTGGAAAGAAGAATGGGGGATGGGGGACAGTTGCTTTTTCCTTCCCCCTTCCAAACCATCTTTAATTTCCTTCCAGGCCTCCGTGTTTCTTTTCAACGCTTAAATATTGGAACAGACTGGTCTGTTCTAGAAAAGAAATGGTCTTTCTTGTTTATAGGTTTGGATCGTGTTTTATCCCTTTCAGGGAACTGATGTGTTGGGGACAGCTTCTCTTTGCCCTGCCTGACATGGTCCAACCATCCCCTCAGCCTTCAGGACGGCAACACCAAAGCCAGGACAAAAAAAAAAAAAAAAAGTTCCAGCTTAAGTGCTGATGCCAAGTGTTAGATCTTGTTTGTTTTAAATTCGAGACTAATTAATGTCAAGCAAATCTGTTAAAAGATTCAGAGCTCTGTTCAGTTTCCAGTGACCAGATCAATTCCATATCTGAAGTTGTTCTTGTTAGAATTGCTGCCAAAAACAGTTTAACCCTTTATCTGTAATGTGTTGTTTCAAAGAGGAATTTGAAATCTGGGTTTGACCATCTCTTTGTTGTTCTTCTCTCATATTTGAAACACATGCATTCCATTCAAACCTGTCACTGTGTGATATACCTAGGACCATGTGTTGCCTGCCCCCCTAACTTCCTGTTCTGGGAATGCTCAGGAATCTGGATCCTACTGTCGTATGGGGCCTGTGGAAGGGAGAAGGGTACAAGGGGAGGGTGAACAGGATTCTTCCCAATGAAGCTGGTGGTAGGTCTCTGGGGCATATAGAGGAAGTTAAGAGGTCACTAGGGAAGAAGAGACTATTCTTAGACCAATGTTTTGTGTGTGTGTGTGTGTGTGCGCGTGCGTGTGCGCGTGTGTACGCACGCGTGCACACTTGTGCACATTTAAACCTCTAGGGGTAGAACAACTGCAAATTCAGACTCTCACTGTAGTAGGGTGCTGGCTCCTGAGTAGATACAAGTTTGAAAATAGATGTTTAGCAAAAGGCTCACAGCAAACTTTCACCCTTACCCAACCCATGTGTAATAAACTTGCTGTCCTGCAGCTGAAACTCAAGAAACTTGTCCTCCCTGCCCTTCCTTCAATCATAATCCAAATACAACACAGATTGAGTTAACAGTGTCACACAACACCCCACACCTCTAAAAGTCATGGTACTTGAACTCCCATGGGGCTTAACTTCAACCGATTAAGCTAAGAAACTAACTTCCTTCTTAGGGCAGTCTTGCCTGTTGCTACAGTCCCATCCTTGGCCCTGTGGGCACAAAATCTTGTGGGAGTGGTAGAGACACTTTAGGGAAAGGGGAGACCTGTGGACATTTAGTCCTGTGGACTAAGGACTTTGCAATAAAACTAGTCATTTTCAATTCCCATTGCCCCCATTAGAATAAAATGTTTTAATGTTATTGTTTCTGGAAAAATTATAAACAAGATGTGTTTGGACCAGACTTCTAAACATTACATGAGAATAGAAAGAGAATGCATTCCTTCTGCCTTCTCTGTTTGGTTTGTGTTTGCTGCCAAAACATGAGGGTTCAGGGATTGGGGAAGTGGAAGTTGCTCACTCAGGCCCAACTATGAGTGCAGGCCACCAGGGTAGCCCTTGCCTAGAAGGCTGTCATCTCACCATGCCATGCTCTGAGTCCTGCTGATGGATGGATGGATGGATGAAGGAAGCCCCACAGGCGGGCTTTGCCAAGATCATCTGGAAAGCCCTGGGGCTTCCAGCAGCCTTCTGCCTTTTAAAGAGGGCACAGGAGGCTAAAGGGGCCTGCTGTGTCCAGAGCAACCAGACCCTTCTATTCTGCTGCAGCCTGTCTCCCTGAACCCAGCTACCTTATAACTGGGCTGAGGTTAGAGCATCTGGGGCAGTAGGGCTGTGGGCACACCCCCGAAGGCTCTGAGGGGAGGGGCAGCCTTCACTGAGAACCCATGTTGAAATATGTTCATGGATCTGGAGATTTAGTGTGGAAAACCACAGAAACTCCCAGACTTGAGGCCTGCCAAGAGATAGGCTTCAGAAGGGAGATATGGGCATTGCCTGCTGATAAGTCACCCTAGGACAAGAGGACACCTGCCTTACCTTCAGGCTATGATGGAAGCTGGAGCTGCCCAACCTAAAAAAGATGGTTTACACATCCCCACTGGCCCTGAGTCCTGATTGCCACTTCGATAGAATGTTTCTAGTATGTTAGGGTTCACTGGGATCTTAGCAGCCCTTTTACAGAGGGGAACTGAAGGTGAGGGGTAGGAAGTGACCTGTCCAGGTTCCCTGGGCTAATTGATGGCAAAGCCAATACCAGGACTGAGGTCAGCATCCTCCACTCCCATAATTCTCTGATGCTTAACTGAAGTTAAAGGTGCCTCTAGAGGTGCTGGTGGTTAGGTTGTGAAATGCAAGAGGCTTGCTTAGGGAAGGGAAACATTAGGCTCAAGGGGGCGACATGCTTTGTGCTCCAGAATTGTCGGTGACAACTGTGACTAAGGGATTTGAGGAAGTGGCAGAAAGAGATTTATGGCCCTCCAACTCCCTCAGTGTTGACTCAGAAACAGGTGTATAGTGACAGGGACACGAAAAGCCACAGACAAGGCCAAACAGGTGCCAGGGCCATTTGGTGAGGTAGTCAGCTGACCCCATGTAAAAGGAACCCTGACTCATTGAGGAGTGGGAGAGGGAAGAGAGAAGTCTGGACTTGAGCAGCCAGTTCACCCACCCACCCTGACATGAAGGCAGGGGAGAGCCCAGAGCCAGGGATCTGGTAAGCACCCACAGTATGGAGTCTAATGCTGGGAGAAGCAGAGAACCCAGTAATGGGGAGAGTGAGTTGGCAGTGGTTCCTAGGGGTAGTGGAGGAGCCCCTGGAGAATAGCAAGGCCAGGCACAATGCCCTCGTAGTGGTCCTGGTAGAAGTTATAGGGGCCTGGAGGGATGAGCTGGGTGGGGGAGGCACCACAGCTCATGCTTATTCCATAATCATTGTTCAGGGCAGTGCCTACCCTGCCCAGGGCTCAATTCCTTGGGGCTCCTGGATGGAGAAAAGGCTGTGTGTTCTGAAGTCTTGATAACCAGCCCCACCCTCTTGGTGCCTAGTACCCCATTTTGAGGGCTACTCCCATCGTTCCCCTCCTCCCTTATTTCTCATTGATTACCTGCCAAGACCCCTTATCCCAGGACAAGTGAAGGCACCCACCCCTCAGGAGGGGAATGTGGTCCCTTATTCTGGCACCACAAGTGAAGACCTTTTCTTTGGGGAAGAGGATGTGGTTCTTTATCTCAGGACAGTGTTGAGATGAAACCAGGTATGTGAAAGTCACAGTTTATTTCCATTTTGTTGCCTCCTCCTCCTTCCCTCCCTTTCCCTCCCAAGTAGTGTGCCTACTCCTCAATGGGCACATCAGCCCGGTCTTAGAAATATGTGTCGAAGCCGCAAAATTAGTTACAAGAAACAACTTTTTGGTGCGCCTCCACCACCCTGCAGGATCCTGAGACACTGCGAGATGGAGGAGGTACTGTTTTTATTTTTTGTAGAGGTGGTCCCTGTCCTCCAGGAGCTTACAATCTAGCTGGGGAAACACAACTAATGCACACTTACACAATTAATACAATTAGCGATTACCACAATATTTACCACAATTGCGTGAGACCAAGGAAAAGCAAGATCAGTGAGGGGCTGGGGGTTCGGAGAAGGTGTTTTAGTAAAGATGGGATCTGTTTACTGGTTAAATAGGTCCGAATCGAGTGACACATTTCTTTCAGGTGGGGTGGGCTTGGGAGGCAGTGAAGGGGAAGGGGAATCGAGGGAGCAAAGGCGCAAGGCTGGAATGCACATGCCGTAGGCAAGGGACAGTAAGAGGGCCCCATTCTATTTCTTAACCCTCCTCCTTCTCCCACTCCCTCCAGTCCCGCCACATGGGCACGCAGTTGGTGCCTTGTCTGCTGCTCGGAGATTCAGGGCTGCTGGCTGGTGATGTTGGAATGTCCATTCTGCTGGCTGGTGTGGTTGTCTGGATCTCTGTGGTGGGGCCTGCTGGCATGGCCGTGGCTGTGGGGCTGGATGTCGCTGTCCCGACTTGGTCCAGATCAGAATGCCTATGCCCAAATCTCAGAGATCTGCTCCCCCCACTCCCCCTCCTCCCTCTACCCCACCCCACAGTGGGACGGGTGCAAAGGGGTTGGGAAAGGATCTGATATTATCGTCATTGTCGGTGCTGCTTCTCCGGGGGCCTGCCAGCCCCTCACTGACCTTGGCAAGTGCTCCTCTGGCGAGAGAGCACAGGGGACCCCCCATTCCTGCGCGGCACTGGCTCCCGTGCTGGGCGAGATGCACAGGAGCACCTGATGACACGGCCGCCCAGGGCTGGGGGCTGGGGCCTCAGTTGGGGGCTCGCCGGCGCTCTCCCAACACCTGCCGCCCGGTCCTCGACACGGTGTACGCCAGCTTCTGCAGGGAGTACCTGAACACCTGTAATGAGAGACCCAGGACCTACCCTTAGAGGCGGGCACCCACAGCCTGGCTGCAGCACTGCTGTGCCCACCCCTGCCCCACCCTCTGCCCTGCCCACCTGTCCCACTAGGAGAGGCCAGCAAGGAGGCAACTTGTCCAGGAGTCAGGACAGCTGGAGCTTTTCCAGATGTGCTGAAGGCTGCATGGTGGCAATCTGACTGGACTCATAACTTAGGTATACCTCACTAATTGCAATGCGCTGGGTCCCTGGAGGATTTTGAAAAGCAAATCCTACCCAGTAAATGCAACATTCCAGGAACACTTTGATCCCTTTGGCAAAGGATTACTTTAGCAGGGAATTCTTCCTGCAAAAGGGTGCTTTTAGAGTAAATGATTTTATGGGCAAAGCATTTTCTTTGGTTTCTTTTTACACAAAGCACTTTGCCTCTTTTTTTTTTTTAATAAAGTGAATTGGGGTTTTTTTGGAAGCGCTTTTTTTCTCTTCTGTTTTTCCAGCAGAGAACCTTTTCTTCTTAATTGTCTTACTCAAAGCGCTTTTATTTGATTCATTTTTTCTTAGTTCCTTTGTTTAATTTTTTTCTGCAGCGCGCTTTATATCTAATGCATTTTTTCTGCCAAGTGCTTTTGTCTGATTTATTTTTCCTGCAATGCGCATTTTCTTGAATTAATTTTTTTCCCGCGAATTATTTTTCTTCTAATAGGTTGTGGATTGGGGTATTTTTTGTTTGTTTGTTTGTTTGAGAAGGGCTTTTTTTCTAACTTATTTTTTGTCCCAACCCCGCAAGCGCTATTTTTTTTTTTTTTTTAAGAAAATTTCCCCGCAATGCGCAATTTTTCAAGGCGGAAAATTTTCGCTATGTGAGCTGTAAAGTCTCTTTTCGCAAAAACAGAAGTGCCCCGCCTCCCTCCTGGGGTCGAGTCTGGGTGTAGCGGTTTTCTCTTACCACGTTGGTCGCTAAGAGCCTCGGCGTTCGTCGGCGGCTGGCGCCCGCCGCGCCCCAACTCTTTGTTCCCGGCCGGGCGCGGGCACACCGAGAAGGGTCTGCGCTAGGAGGAGGGCGCAGGGTGGGGGCGCGTGGTGCCAGCCGCGGCACTCGGGCACAGGGATCGCGGCAATCAGGATAGGATGGATCGCGGAGACGGCAATTGCGACGTGGGCTTGCCGGTCCAGGGGGCTCGCATCGGGACCCCTCTCCCACCTAGAACCTGGGCACACTTACCTGCAGCAGCACACGGAAAATGTACCAGCCGATGATTAGCAGTTCAGCCGAGGCTGCCGCCACTGCCGCCATGGTTCCGAGTGCGTTGGGTGGATGGTTGAGCGCGAGTGCTGCCGAAGACCGCAGGTTTGCCGAGGGCCGCTGGTCTCTCGGAGTCCGCTGTTGGGCGCACTGCTGCAGCCGCCGCGGCCGCGCCTTAAGTAGCCACCCGCCACCCAACTGCGCATGCGCGCATGGGGGGGTCCATAAGGAGGGGTAGCCGGGGGCACTCCTCATTCGTCAGAAGAGGAAAAAAAATAATCCATCTGCGCTTTCCACCGACCCCCGCCTCCCGAGGTTCATCTTATCCCCTTTCCAGAATATTCTACCGTGCCCGCTTTTGAATTTTAGTGCAAATGAAGGGGAATTGCAACCGTGTGTGGCACATCTGGTAAGGGTTGGGGATGCGCGCATCTTGGTGTGGGACCTTTCTCTTCAAGCCCAGTGTCCAGTGCCGTACCACAACCCACCTTGGCCACAGATGGAAACCTAATTTAGAGAGGGAACATCTGCCCCGCACAGCAAAAAAAGATGCCCCTTCCAGGAGCCCTGGATTCACAGTCCTCTGCTCAGCACTCCTTTTCTGATATTACATGTGTCGTAAGCCCATGTCGTCTGCTTCACAAGAGTCTCTGAGCGCCTCCCTAACCTTTACGTGATCACTCGAGTCCCGCTTCTTAACGTTGCTAGGTCTACGGCAATGGCGATTATGGGGAGCCTAGCGAAGGTACTAAACTTTAGGGAAAGTGATAGTCACCAGGTATCTACCCGGTGGGAGGGATGCGGGAGGGTTTGGCGCCTTTGTATACGCGGATGGGATAGCTCGAGCTCTCCCAAGAAGTGGTCGGAACGAGCTCTGGGGTAGTTTGCTGCTGGACAGGTCATTTCAACTTCTGTCTTCTACCCCCAGGCCCTGGGTAGGTCTTCTTCAGCCCGCAAGATTTTTTTGTACCCGTTGCGGTGGGTGGCTGGAGCCGGGTTTTACTACCGCCACCAGAGGGTTGTGGCTACCACAGCTCGGTTTCCAGGCATAGCGGGAAGACCTGAACGCGGTCTGTGAGCACAGCACCAGCACACTGGTAGCCGGCCGCTGGAGAGCACCTCTCTCCAGCAAGCTGCCTGGCACAGGGGCCAAATGGCATTTGCCCCTATGTGGGTAGAAAATTAATTGTGATTATAAGCTCACAGAGGTCAGCTTCTATACAGTGCCAGCATCAAGTGAGGTCAATTTGGACGAGGTAGCATGGTGATTTTTTTCTGCATCGACTTTCAAAGAAGTTGGCTGGTTTTGGCAAAATAATGCCAGGCTATTTGAAAAAGGCAAGCTCATCCCAGGCTGCCATTTTAAAACAAAATATTTGGTGGTGTTGCCGCTGCTGCAGCTTCCTAGAGCTTGCGAAGATCCATTGCTTACGATCTTTGGCTGGCAGTGTGCGGCTGCTAAACTGCTAACTGCTGTGCTCTCCACTGAGCACCTGCTGTGTGACAGAACCCTGTGGGGGCACAGCATGGAGCCCATAGCCATCCGGTGGCAACCACAGGGCGGTATTGTGAGGTCTGGACCCGTTGAGGACGGGCCGCAGCCCCAGGAGGCGATACATGATCTCTACTGGGCAGGGCCCAGGCAAAGCCAGTCCACTGTGCGGGACCTGCTGGAAGAGCCCTCTAGCGGAGCCCTGAAGAAGCCCAGGGGAGATATCCCAGGAGGCTTCTTGAAATGGTGACTTGGAGAGGAGTAGACTTCCATGGGTGGGCAGGGAGGAAAGGGCATTCACATTTGCTGTTGTTAACCATGATCCATTTTCCCAAATAAGTATACATTCTGTTCCTGTTTTTTTTTTTGTTTGTTTTTTGTTTGTTTGTTTGTTTGTCTGTCTGTTTTTTGTCTGTTTGTTGTGTTGACTTTTCTCTTCAGGATCCCTGCTGCCTTGGTGATCCCGGGCTGACAGCCAGAGAGCACAGCGGCTCAGCTCCTGCAGAGTGAGGGTTGAAGAAAGCAGAGGGCAGCCGCCCACGCCCACTGGCTCCCATTAGGTCGGTTCCTGCAGCGGTGCCCGGCGGCCTTGGCGAAGGCCCTGCCCGGCAGAGATCATGTATTGCCTCCAGTGGCTGCTGCCCGTCCTCCTCATCCCCAAGCCCCTCAACCCCGCCCTGTGGTTCAGCCACTCCATGTTCATGGGCTTCTACTTGCTCAGCTTCCTCCTGGAGCGGAAGCCTTGCACAATTTGTGCCTTGGTTTTCCTGGCAGCCCTGTTCCTCATCTGCTATAGCTGCTGGGGAAACTGTTTCCTGTACCACTGCTCTGATTCCCCGCTTCCAGAATCGGCACACGACCCCAGCGTTGTGGGCACCTAACAGCCTGCCCAGTTAGCTTTCCAAGGAAGCAGAAGACGGGAGGGGAGGCATTGACATAGGTCATAAAGCATTGGAGTTTCAAATCCCGCAGTTGGCGGGTGCCACATTCCTGACGGCGCCTTTTTGGCCTGTGATGTTTTATCCTTATAATGTGAATAATAGCACTGACCAGTGCTTTTATTGTAGAGTCCTATAGTCGTGGGTGGTCTTGTGGTTGTGTGTGTTCTGTCCCCATCTTGGTTTCAGCTGGCAGGATGGCCACCCCCCTCACCTCATTCCTATGAGGAATCTGCACCCATCCTGGTCCACCACCCCAGCATGACCTGGGCAGATAAAATGCCAATCTCATTGTCACCTTCGTTACCCCTTCTCGTCAGGGTCTCCTCCCTTTCCAGAATGTTCCCAACTCCTCAGTCCCTCTCCGGGTTTCCCTTTAGTTCTCTTCTACCCCTTTCCTTTTTGGAGGAGCACCTGTCCAAGACAGGGCTCATTTTTGCACTTATCTCTAATTTAAAGAGATTGCTGACGCCCAAGAGCCTCGCTTTTTCATCCTCCTTTCCCTGGTCAGCAGGCTAGACAGAAACATGTCTTGAGTGTTTGTTGTTCACAGATCTCCAGTATTTTTTCCACTTGATTTTTAAGAAAGAAAGAAATAATGGATACATCTTGCTCTTTCACCTCGGTGGTTGGGCTCATGCTCAGCCTCACCTCCTTTGCCCTTCCTTCTGCTTTCCTCAGCTGTCCCGAGGAGGGGGGACTCATTGTGTCTCCTGTGCATGCTCTGCAGGATTGAGGTGTGGCGTGTTCACATAGATCTAGCAGTCCCCAGCCGAGTGAATGGGAGAGTACTTGCGTGGTCCATAACAGCCACGATCCCCTTGATAGGTGTTTAGATATTTTTTGGTGTGCTGTACGTGTGTGTGTAACGTATACAAATACATGTGTATATTCCTTTTAAAGAAGCTTTATCGAACGTGTTCCGATTTTGAGGTTTAGCAATAGCTAACTATAGTAGGTGCCACTACAGTTTTTATTTAGCATGGGGATTGCAGAGTGACCAGCACACTGGACTTCGAGGTGGTTCAGACAAGACAAAGGGGAGCAGTAGCCATCGTCCTCATGCCAGGAGCTCCTTCAGTCCTGCATATATAGACTGTACATTATGAAGAATACACAGGAAGACTTTGTGACTGTCACTTGCTTTTTTCTTTATCTGCGCTTCAATAACAAGTGTTGGCACACGAGACTCTCCTGGCCCCTGCCCACTGGGGATCAGCATGGTTGTCCTTCCAGTCTAAACCATCCATCTTTCTCTTGCCTGAACAGGGAGGGAGGTGGGCCAGGCAAAGGACAGAACTGGAGGCAGTCCACCTAGGAAATGGGACCGCGAGGCCACACTTGTGGAACATTTGGACTGCTATTCTGGAGCTTTTGTTTCTGGTGTGTTCATTGCACAGCTGTTTGAAATGTTTAATAAAGCTTTATAAACTTTACTTTGTGGTTTTATGTGGCTACAGTCCATTTGGGTCATGGTGTTGGATTTCTAAGTTGGTGTGGGGCAGGAGGTAGCATGGAGGGGCTGAGTCTTTGGCGCCAGAGTACCTTAGCCCAAAAATTTGATCTGCTCTCTGGAGAGCAGATGGTGGGGTTTGGGAAGGGGGAACAGGACAGGCCAGGCGCTGAACAGGAGGGAGTCTGAAAGTTTTTAGAGATGAGACATTTGTGTTTCTCAGCTCCCATGGCTTCTCGCCTAAAACTGTTTCCCTCCATAGGAGATTTGAGTAACCGATCCCTTGACAAACAACTTAAGACAGCTGGAGCTCTAATCATCAAGGATTTTTATGGTGCTGCTTTTGAAGTAAAAATAAAGTGAAACCCCTTATGGCATTTCAAGTGGAAAAATAAATAAGGCTAGCCATCCAACCTGGGGGCCTAAGGCAGTGGCTGGAAGCGTGGCAGCGATGCAGTTCATTGTCGTCGATGTGCACGTGCTCCCATGGCTGTGACCTTTGAGACAAAGCAGGGTAGCTTATCAGGGCCCTGTGCTGGGTGTCTACCTCTCAGTCTCTCCTCTTTCTAGAAAATGTAACAGGAGTACTACCTGTCCAAGGCACAGAGCTATTGTGAGGGTTTATTGAGATAACAGTTGTGAAAGGGCTTTGGCAATTTCATAAAAGTTCACCCGTTTTACCTAGATTTTTAATTTCTTGCTATAATGTTTTATGTCGTTTTCTCTCCATTTAAATCTCCCCATTGATTGTCAGTTTTTTATTTTTTTCATTCTTAGTGTTGCTTTCTCTATCAGTGCTTTCTCTTTTCTTGATTAAAACTTGCCAAAATGTATCCATTTTAAAGGTAATTTTCAAAGAAGGAGATTTTGATTGATTATATCTGCTGAGTATTTTTCCTATCTGATTCTCTAGTGCTTTTATCTGTGAATTCTTTTCTGGGTTCCTGGATGTATTTCGTGGTTCAGCAACATCTTGACAAGCTGAGGAATCATACACGTGGAAAAGATGGTTTTTTCAGCAAACACTGAGCCCCTGTACTGTGCTTGCTGGGGATTTCAGGGGCACGACCTAGGCCTGACTCCAGGACCGCATGATTCTAGCCTAGTGGGAAAACTTAAGAAAACAGACAATTGCAAATTCCAAAAACAAAACAAACAAATAAAAATGGCTTTTGTGGCTCCACTCCCATGGAGGCACCTGGGATAAATGAAGCCAAGATTATTGCTTGTTTTGCTCTCTCTCAGAAAGCAGCTTTCTGTTGTAGGTCAAGCCCGCTTAAGAGTCACAAACAGGCCTCCCTCTGAAAGATTTCTGACTATTTGCAGCAGGGAGCCTGTAGCCCACCCTCTCCCAAAGCGACTGCCAAATCAGCATTATGTTTGCCCAACAGTGCTTTCCACCTTGCCAAGGCAGCGCTGGAAGCACCCTGCCCCATTTCCTGAAATGCATTTCAGGAAAATGACAAGTTGATACCTCTTGTGGAAAAGAGCAGGGGCACCAGTCCTTGGAAAGTCATGCTCTGCAATTCTGCTGGTCTCTGGGCTTCTTTAGGAACTGGTCTGTGCCCTCCTCTGCACCTCAGTTTCCTTATAGGTAAAATGTGGTTTTAGGCACAAACACAGTCTTCCTAGCCATAATATACTGGCAACCCTTTCCCCTAGGATCTTAGGGTCCTCCTGGATACACTTGGGAAGGGTGACTGAGCTCTGGGAAAGTGGCAGTGCCCTTGCAGGACAGCCTGCATATGCTTCATTCTTTAGTCTGTGTACCATGCGAGCCCAGATATTCCTCTGTCAGGAAGCTTTCCTGAACTTCACCCATCTCCCTGGAGATCCATTTGCCTAGAGTACTTTACTTGGCCCTCTGTCGAGTGCTAGTGTTAGTAGTGCTAGGCAGACTTCCTCTTCCATAGTGACTGGACTCCTCCTATCTCCCAGGGGTGCCTGAAGTATCAGTCAGCAGGTCCTTGTAAGAATCCCATGCAGGACTAGGCTTTGGAGCCACATGATGGACAAGGTGGGCAGTTCATGCCATCAGGGAGCCATCTAAGCTAATAAGAAAGGGATGATATTGGGTAGATAATCCCACAAATATATATCGATACTTACATAAAACTGGATTGTGGCAGGTGCTATAAGAGTAGTCTAAGAGGGGATCTGATGTAGGCTGGGGAAGATTGATGTTTGGGCTGAGACCTGAGGACAAGTATGAGTGATTGAGCAGTGAAATAATAAAAGGTGTTATTTCCCACCATCTAATCAAGGATCTCTGTGCTTCCAGGAAAAGAGACTGGGCAGAAAGTAAAATGAAGGACCACCAGTGTCTGGTTACCCTAGAATCAGAACCTTTTAAAAAGGCTTCTTGGGATAGAGATCCGTCTGTTTAAAGCTAGAGGACTGTGTTGAGAGATACTGAGGGGATCTAAGGCTGACATGGTGATGGCAGACCCAAAACTCAATCCCGAGAACTCTTCAGTTTCCAGCTGACTGGAACCATCCCAAACACGGATCTAATGGGAATAGAACAGCATTCAAGGTGGGATTCTTTCACTAAGGAACAGGTTAGCATTTGAGCAGTGAAAGCAGCAGGGCTGTCGAGAAGGCCATTGCCCTGTCTAGATCATTGAGAATGAGGAGAAGTGGCTCTAAGGAACGGTGGTGAGTGACGTGGTGGGTGACACAAGAGAAGCCAAGCTGGGGAGGGAGGAGACCAGAGAAAGATGACAGAAGGAAAGCTGACTCCCATTGAATAGCTGCAGGAAAGGAGGCCAGAGAAGGGTCGTCACCTGTGTCCAGTTGGCTGGCAGAGACAGAATCCAGTCCCCTGGCATCCAGTGCAGTATTCACCCCTCACCCTCCACCCCCTCATGAAAGGGTCACTGCTCTGACAAGAGGGAAGAACTAAGAAGTGCTCATCTCAGCAAGTGATGGAAGCTGATTCTGACAGTCAGAGGCTTGTCTCAGCCCAGCACCTTCCTACCCCAGTGTATTCCTGGAAGCTAGAGGAGGGGCAGAGTTTGGTCTGCTAGGCTTCCGG